CAAGAAGCAAGCGGATGGCCGGGGGAATGCGGTGACGACGATGACGCTAAAGAACGATATCTACGGGAGTACAAAAAAACCGAAGGTATTGTTTTCGATAAGTGTAACGTTGCGCTGAACCCTGGTTTACGTTCAGTTGCAAAACTCTGTTTAAATTCATTTTGGGGAAAATTCGGCCAGCGGGCCAATTTGCCGAATACCGAGGTTGTGAGAACGCTGCAACGTTTTCTGACATTACTGACGAGCGCCGAGCATGAGATAACCGATATATTACCCGTGAACGACGAGGTAATATATGTTTCGTGGCGATTGCGACAAGAGGCCGTCACGCCCTCACCTATAACAAATGTTGCGATAGCGGCGTATACGACGGCTCAAGCACGCTTTAAATTATATGAATATTTAGACCGCTTAGATCGACGCGTGTTATATTATGATACTGATTCGTGTATATACGTAAGCACAGGTAAACCGAATGAGTATGAACCGCCTACGGGAAATTTTCTGGGTGACATGACGGACGAGCTCGAAAGCTACGGTCGTGGTAGTTATATCGAGGCGTTCGTGTCCGGTGGCCCAAAATTTTATGCCTATGTTGTTCGTATGCCGGACGGGCGTACGCGTGAATGCTGTAAAGGATAGGGCATAACCCTAAACTATGAAAACTCTCGGTTGGTTAATTTTAACAGCATTAAGAATTTATTGTTAAATAAAGAGAGAGCACAGGAAAATGAAAAGAACGGAGAAGAATTGCCGAAAACTTCAATAAATCTATGCTTTAGAGCAATTCGGCGTATCGCGTTTCACGAAATCGTAACACGCGACGAAACTAAAGTATGCGCATTCCCTTCCTTTCTTCCCGGCGTCTCTGTGACGTCATAGCCTCTGCCCTAAAACTCCGCGTCAAACAGTCTCAGGTACCCGTTTATATGTCAAGACCCTTTCTATCGTCTCCAGCAATGCTGTTACCGTATGTCTACCTGTGTAGCGGTGCTCGCCCGCTCGGACAAACGTACCCGTACATGCACGCACGTGTTCGTTATCACTTCATAGCATCAAGTTTATTCTAGCGGTACCTTGCCCAATTTTTCTCTTTTCAACAGGAAGGGTGGAAGAGGGTGGGCGACATATAACGTACATCTCCCGGTTTTCCTCTAAGGGGGGGGGGGGGGGGGAGTTGTATCCACATTGACAAAAAGACGTCGAAATGTGTATGAACGATTCGAGTAGAGACATCTGAAAGATATAGAGGAAAGTAGGGTAAAACCGGGTACTTTTTTAGATTTGTCTTCCTACAAAAAATCTGAGAGTAAAAAAATTGTGCCAACTGTTAGTAGTCTTTAGTGAACCTTAAACTATGAGAAAATAAGGCCAGTTGCTGAAAAAAAAAATTTTTGGTTATCAAGAATAACAAGATCTTGTGGAGAAGTCAAAATACCCGGTTTTGTCCTACCGGTATTAGGGGTCTCAAAAACCTTTTTTTTAGTGGTTTCTTTTTTTGAGCGTTAGTTTTTGTTTTCAACTGTTTTTTGTAGGGAGGCAAAGTCAGGATAACAGTTCTTCCTCTTTTCATTACATGAGATGTGTAAGTACCCGGTTTTGCCCCAACACAAGGAAAGTAATAAATACGGTGGTTGTATATTCCGGCGTACAGAGTGCTGATCAAAACTAATATGATATACTCTTTAATATGTACAGAATGCAATGCTGCATTTACCGAAACAGATGCTCTATATAGAAAAAGTGCACGACGACTCGATTCCTGCCTCGATATCGATCTTTTTGGGGCTAAAAACTTTGAACTTCTATGAAAAAAGAAATATCGTGTGCACAGGGGCACGGTTTATTTAAAAATAATGATGGCGCCAATCTACAACTAATAACACAAGTTAGCCATAAATAGCAGCACTAAGTACGAAAAAACAGGGGTATCCTTTTTCTTTTAATCTTTATTATTTCGCTCAAAGTATAATTATAAGAAAATTAATTAAAGATGTGTTTAGTATTCTATAGTTTTCATGTACATCAACGTAATTTACCATTTTATTTTAAAATATCAATTTAAGTAATATGAATAAATATTATTGACTGATTTAGTATATATTTAGAGATGCACCTTGCATAAAAAGATTCCACGTAAAAAATTTCAATTTTAATACATAAAAATAATATTTTCTTAAATATGTCTATTTCAACAAACAATAAACAAGAATAAAATATAATTTTATTATTAAAACTCAATAAATTTCTATATACTAATCTTTATTTAGTTAATTTTATTTTTCTTTTACTCTTTGTTATTTTTCTCAAAGTATAATTATAGGAAAATTAATTAAAGCAATTTTCTGCAGTTTTTTCAATGAGTATAATAGTTTTAGATGTCGATTTCTCAGACCTCAACTTTCGTCTGTATTACAAAAGATCATTTGCTTGAAATAAGATTATAAAATAGTCTGACATAATCTGATGTTTAATAAATATCTGTGAGTAGAAACTTCTATTTGAAACTGTCATGTAGAGCTACAAACACAAAAAAATAATATGTTGATTTAACACTTTTTCTTTAATAATTTAAGGGGGGAGGGCTTTTGACGATCGAAAAAATATGATGTTTAGAAACTGTATTTGCTTAAAGTTTAAAATTTTATGTGTTTTTAAAATATATAATTTTAATGAAGATATCCGAAAGATTTATAAAATTATAATACTTTATAGAAATATAGACACAGACAGAAATAAACATACACCCGCGCCAGTTTGTAGATACTTATTTTTCCTCAAGGAACAGATGTTCAGACTAGATCTTTGTAAACATGTATAACTCTGTACATTCTTACATATCACTTGTATATATTACATCTTATTGAATATTTTTGAATAGCAAAGTAGAGATCAGTATGATCTCATATATTATCGTTCTATGTAAAACAGATATGATTTCAATGCGGAAATAACATTCGAGAACGTGATCGGAAAATTCAACTAAAGAGTAAGAGAAAAAAAAGAAACTTTTATAGCAACAAATTTATAAAGTTATCATTCTTTTTTTAATCTGTTCGGAAATAAATAAAGTATGATTCAATCGTTTAAAGAAATTGTAGTTTCATCAAAAAATAAACAAACAATTAAAATTGTTTAAAAAATGACTTTAATATTTAAACCGTAATTAAAATTCGGATAGAGCTTATTCAGCACAAAGCATCGGTCAAAATACAATCAAATCTATAAAAAAGATAAAAATTATTCGGACATATTAGTGTTTTGAAAAATGAACGTAAAGATTGGTAGTTTCTTCATATAACTTCGCACTTGCTTCTTATTAGAAAATTTTGGAAGGAAAGAAAAATATTTGTTATTGCTACAGGATAACAAATTAATAAAAAGAGCCATAAATTCAATCTCTTTCTCATCTATTTACACTAATATAATCCTAATGTGAAACTTTAAACACATCTTTTTCGAAACCATATTTTTCAAAAAGAGATGGATACATAATTTTTCAGATATAAATAAAACAGTTGGATCAAAATTTTATCATAAACATAAAATATCGATATCGAATTTTTGTTGTCTGAATGATATCTATATGGATAAATCAATATCCGAGAACCTTTTTTTATAATTATTGAAGAAAGATGCAAAAAATAAAAATGTAAGAAATTAAAAGATAATTATTTGGAATAAGGCCTTTTCTGAATTTTAACAAATATGATCGGATTTTTCGGTAAAACTCTTTGTTGTGACTCCAACAGTGATAATCAGTCGGAGGAGACCGTCTCCCATCACCCTCACCCCTCCAAAAAACCGAAAAACCCCAAAAATTACCAAAACAAAGCGAGGTTCACCCCGCAATTGTTGTGTGAATGGGAAAGTGTATGCGTGGATGCAGTGGGTTCCGCCCCTTCCCCCCCACGAGGGAGCTCTACTTCCGGAAGATATAACCTAACCCAAACCTATTTCTGATTTAAAACTAAAATTTGGTTTGGGTTAGGTTATATCTTCCGGAAGTAGAGCTCCCTCGTGGGGGGGAAGGGGCGGAACCCACTGCATCCACGCATACACTTTCCCATCCACATAACAATTGTGGGGTGGACCTCGCTTTACTTTCGTAATTTTTGGGGTTTTTCGGTTTTTTTGGTGGGTGGAGATGATTTGGGACGGGCTCCCCCGATTGATTATTACCGTTGGAGTCACAACAAAGATTTTTATTCTAAGAACCGCAAGAAAATATAAAATTTCGAAAAATGCCTTATTCCAAATAATTACCAATTAAAATTTTAATTTTAAAGTACCGCTTGTGCATGATGTAATAAAAAAAATATATTTTTTCAAAATCAACTGTATGTGCAAAGTTCATAAGTCATAGAGATATGTAGTGGTTTTATCACAAAAAAAATTCATGATCATCTTAAAATACACTTGACAAAATAAAAACCTCTTTTAATCAAGTAATAGAGATATGTTTTTCCGTCATAAATAAGAATAACATTTCAAGATACGAAATTGCAACGATTAACGTAACACTATATTTCGCTATAATTTTCACTTAAGTGCGCCATCGAGTAATAAATCTCTTACTTCAAGCGTCGATTAAAATTTTAATCTTACTCGCTTAATCGATGCTGTGAACACAATTTTTTTGCAATAAGTAACGATAAAAATTCAATATGATGTAATTATACCGGTTCACATTTACACATATAAATATACTAAGTACAGACTGGATACCCTGTCTTAATCGGCGCCAACCTTAGAAAGGGAGCGTAATGATTTCAAGGATGTGTGAGCTGGGTAGGGATAGATAGAAAAGGCTATGCCATCACAAAGCTTTGTTTCTCTTGATCGTCTCCTGATTGGAACGCGCAGTCTATGAGTTTACTTAGATTGCATTCTGATATAAACAGTTGGTTATATTGAAAAAGTCATTCATATACGTTCATTCTGACATTATGATGTCATATTGATCGTACTTTGCTAGGTAATTCATAACGAGCATTCACCTGTTTTGCTAGCGCCACGATGTTTACAGTGCCCACAGTGTTGGTCTTGACTGCATTTTTCAACGACAGGTCGAATTTCACATTAGCAGCCATGTGAAAGACGATGGAAACTTGGCTGGTGAGACGTTCCTTGTCCGCGACGGATAGAAAGAGTCCCTCCACGGTCGAATCACCGGCTATCACTATCAATTTCTTTAGCCGTTCTGGGTATCGTTCTCTTAGGATTCTAAATGGCTCTTGCTGCAAATACAATTTCCATGAGTCTCTGAGCCTTTCTTCCGTTTCTAAAACGGTTCTAAAATTCTGCAAAATATATTCTGAAGTTCTTTAAATTTTTTATAAATATATTCTAAATTTCTTTAATCTTTTAGTTCTTGTCAGATCTCTTAAGGAACATAACATTTTTTATCTGATATTACAGAGAAGGTAATTTTAATTGTACACAATAGATTGTGTATTATAGTTTAAAAAAGGCAATTTTTGATTTTTTTTATAAAACACATTAAGGTTTCAAAAGCTTAATGATTCGTGATTTTTTATAATTGTTATGCAAAATATTGATAAGAACTTTACCATTAGGTGCGTATTATAGACGTCAAAATAAGAAAAAAAAATTATGTAAATATGTATCCGGAACAAATACTTCTCTCTACCGAATCAAAATTTCCTAAAAATTGACAAAGAAAATCAAAACTTTCTCATATATTTCCTGTTTAAAATCTCATCAAGAAAGCGAAAATTTTTTTACAAGTACACACACACACACACATATTATTTTTAAAATATTTTAGCGTGTTCGGCAATCAATATGGCGACGCATATAGAAGTCTATACAGATATTATTAGAGAAGAACATTTTGTACGCTTTTTGTGAAAAGTCGGGAATTAATGAAAGCGAAACTTAAGTTAAGACAGTTAAGATTATCATAGTCATACATCCTTCAGAATAAAAATCTCTCTTTCAATATTTTTCGCACAAATCAATTAATTACAAAAAACCGATTCATCCTATTCCAAATAGGGAAGTAACCATTTTGATGTCATTTTGACGTCAAATTACATCAAAATGACGTCAAAGAAAGTGTTTTTGCTACCTCAATATATATATATGAACGTGCGTGTTGTGTGTGTATGTGTGTAGTGTACACATATACATATAAAGTTGACTATTCCAGGTTACAATTAAATAACCGCTTGACCATGAATTGTGCTTGAGCGTAAACAGGTTTACAAGTGCAAAAAATAAGTTATTTTCATAATCTTTTTCGTCTCTTTTCAAGATCATAATGACGATAATAACAATTTAGCATAGTTCTATTCTATTCTATCGGCTCTTTTGTTCATGACATAATAATTCGATGATAAAATTTTATCACAATGATGCATTGCAAACGTATTGATTTTCAATAAATAATTTCTTGGAAACGCATTACAATGCAGCGTCTTAGAAACATTTCTCGATTTTGTACGCGCACTCGCATGATTCAAGGATAAGATTGCTTAGCAAACGTCTTTACACATCGAAAGTTTTGAAAGTTTCTCGAAAGACTCGGGAAGATGATGAAGTAATTCGAAAACTTCTTATGGCGTGATTGATGTCAAGGCAATTCGCGATGGTTCAATTCATCTACGGGATATAATGAAATTATATTAAGCAACAATTATCATCGATTTCCGCGTGGGTTTTATTCGATCAATTTTAATATTCATAAAAATCTAAGAACATTTATTAAATTCACCATAAATTTGAAGAACATTTATTATATTCACCATAAATTTGATGACGTGCGATCAATTACGTGTTATTATAATAAATTATAGATCAGCTGTGTATGCACAACAAAATAAAAAATGCAATGAATAGAAGATAAAGATAATGACAAAAATTAAATAAAAGAAAGGATGAAAAATCGATCGTACACTGTCGTACGATAAAATTCTTTGATTGCCACACATACACTCGGTAATATTAGTGCTTTTTGTTATTCTTCGTAAAGAGCGCGAGTCTATTAAAATTTAGAAAAGCAACTGCATTCTATATCGTTGCGTCTGATGTCGCAATGTTCGACACCTTCAGCGGATAAAGTAATGAAAGCTACGACATATGTGTGAATAGAATATGATGTGTGAAGAGAAAAATTGGAATTATAATAAATCGTTGCTTTCGAGCTCGGGGATAATCACTACAATAATGCCAGGAAAGGTCTATTGCGTGTCGCGTGTTGCTTCATCGTTGATCGAAGTTATTTTAACGACAGCACATTCGCCAAAGAGATCGTAATGCGGCACGTTCTATTAACCGCCTTGATGCATATGGAAATACATGCGTACAGCTTTGTGCGTGTGTACATTTACGTCGAGATGTTCTCGCTTACACCGATAATTCGATGCCATCTTTATTTTCGCTTACATCGACAGGACATAAGCAAATAATATTCGATATCAGATAAAGGTACTTGCATCATGTATTAATGCAAATTATATCGGGTCTATTCTCAAAAACTTCTAGGTTCTAAATTTCGAAAGTTTTCATCTCTTCTGTGTTACATTACTTTCTGTATTATCTGATACTTTTGGATTAGAAAATGAAGCGCATTTTGAAGATAGAAATAGATAATAATGATAATTCTTGTGTCGCTCGAGATTAAATTCAGATAATATTTAAAGGTAGATTTTTTTAATTTCAGCATATCTTTTGTTGAAGACTTAATAACATATCAAAATTCAATGAGGATAACAGAATGTACATATACATAAGCTTTATAATAATTCTTCAACTGATGTATTCGTTTTAAAAATATTACCTTTTAAATTAATTTCTACTAATTATAAGAAAGCGTCGCAATAGAATATTAAAAAAAATTTTGAGATTTATAATGTGTAAATAATATCTATATTTAAATATCTAACTAACTTACGCATCTCTGTAAGTTAATTATTATTACTTTTTTAAATCTTCAATATTAAATTTATTTGAATATTGCTGTTATTAAAGAGAGAGAGAGAGAGAAAGAGATCCACTCGCGCCTGCTACTCTGTTTTCACTGCTTGATGCCGTACTCCCCGTTGATCTTCCTGTCGATGTCATAGCTGCTTCTTTATCGCTATCGATAATAAATTTGTCAAATGGTCCACGACACGCCACCAATTCGTGGTTTCTATTATATATTTTATGCTTAATTACACATCCTGGATGGTAAAAAAGTTTATCGCAAGACTTGCATGTTACAGCTTGGTTTTTATTGCCTTCTTACATGCCGAGCATCGATATTCGTCGTATTCTTCCATATCGATAATTACCGGTCGAAACTGCTAATATCAGCATAGGCGATCAGTCACCTTTGCGTCCACTTTCACACGTCAGCACTTTGTCCACCTGTCGTACGAGACTTGGGCGTCCCATACAAGAAATGTAGTTCTTACGTTCACAAATGAGCATACTGCAGCTACATAACACTCATGGCTATTCCCGGTCTATGTAGCTATTACTTCAATAGCTTTTTACCACTCTCCCTCATTATTTAACTACTTAAAAATTATCACTTTTATAGAGCGATGTTTGACACGTCTTCTCCATCACAGAAAGAGAGAGAGGGGGAGAGGGGGAGAGAGGGGTGAGGGAGAAAAGAAGAGAGGGATGAGGGAGAGAAGGAGAGAGGGAGGGAGAGAGAGAGAGAAGTTCCTTTTTTATAAAAATTTGATTTAAATATTACTATGATATTATCATGGTGTATTTATATGTTTCGATATGCGATATGTGTACTTACTAAATCGTGCGTACCTGAGAAAAATCGAAAAAATTTTTTACCAAAACCACAAAAAAAATCCAACGATCCAAACGATTTTTTTTTAACGGAAATTGTACACTGAAAGAGCGAACACTATCGGA